TTGCGTGCATATAATTATAGATAGTTAAAACAAAAAGTATTTGAACTTTTGACGGTTGTTCAACATCTATGCACGGTTACTAAACTAGTAACCGTGATCTATGAAAACCAGAAAATTTTTAGTAGTCCGAATTGTTGCACGGTCGAAAATAAAACGGAAATTGACCGGTCAAAAGCGGAAGCGGTCAAGAGGTTTGGGGGAAATGAGTACAGTACTTCTTTGTTTGATGAAGCGATGCTGATGCCACATTGTCGCCATAATGAGGCCACGATGAAGCGAAGCGATAATCGCCTAACTTTTTAATGTCGCGACATTGAAGCGATGCTGAAGCCATAACAATGCCATAACGATGCGATGCTGAAGCGAAGCTGACGCTGAAGTGAAGCCAAAGCTTCCGCGAGAACTGTATCTATCTATCTATCTATCTATCTATCTGTGTTTGTATGGCTATATATCTCTGTGTGTTGGTATGGCTATCTATCTCTGTGTGTTGGTATGGCTATCTATCTATCTATGTGTTGGTATGGCTATCTATCGCTGTGTGTTGGTATGGCTATCTATCGCTGTGTGTTGGTATGGCTATCTATCTCTGTGTGTTGGTATGGCTATATATTTATCTGTGTGTTGGTATGGCTATCTATCTCTGTGTGTATCATTACAACAGGGATATTGTAATGTTTTACTCACAAGAGACTTGATGCCATATTCCCAATCCTGAGATGCCACCTGGCCAGTGGGCAGTATGTACTGTACTCTTGATTGAGTAGACAGCTGTCAGCTGGAGTTGAACCCACAATTTTCCTGACAATGAATTCTGCAAAACATCTGTTACATAATGTTTTCAATTTTTAGGTAAAGGAAATGTGTAGAAGAGAGATGGATCGTCAAGAAAAAGAAATCCAAAGGAATTCAACTATTGTGGGAGAATACAAACAAATATGTTCACAGTTGAGTAAACGATTGGAGAAACAACAAACATCCTATAAAGCTGAAATAAATGATATTAAAGTAAGTATTTTGCACTTCTTATTGAATACATGAACTTGTAGTCATCAAAAAATATGAATACACAATGCTATATTTTTAGTCCCCGTTTGGACGAAGTCCGAAAAGGGGGACTTACAATTCGGTCTCCGTCCATGCGTCCGTCCAAGAGTCACATCTCAGAATCCCTTGGACCGATTCTTTGCATTTGCCTAGTACTTTATGTGGGACATATGCACATGCAGTGGTTTAGCGATTTGATTCAAAATGGCCGACTGGCAGCCATATTGTTTTTTGAAAATGTCATTTCCATTCAAATTTAGTACATAGATCATACATGTTAGGATACATGTCCCGACTGTCCGTGAGTTCCTGAGTCTGTCCGTCCGTCCGTCCGTGTGTCAGTCTGTCCAGATTCATATTTCAGAATCCTGTGGACCGATTCCGTTCATTCTTTGCATGTGCCTAGTACCTTATGTGGGACAAATGCACATGCAGTGGTTTAGCGATTCAATTCAAAATGGCCGACTGGCAGCCATCTTGTTTTTTGAAAATGTTGTATTTTGGACATGCTTTGTCAGTTGTCATTCAAACTTGGGACAATTTATTTCGCAATTGGATCAAATATGGTCGACTGGCAGGCATCTTGTTTTTGTTTTTTTATGCGGTATCTTGGATGTGCTCTGTCAGTTTTCATTCAAATTTGACACATACATGTACTTTATACATGTTAGGATGCATGTCCATGACAATTTGTTTCAAAATCTGGTCAAGGATGGCCGATTGACAGCCATCTGACTTGACACGAAACACGTGTTTTGATGTAAGGGGTGATCTCATATTCAAACACCTGGGTCAAACCTGGGTTAACCCAGTCTGCCCTTGCTAGCCCTAATCAGACCTACTAGACCTACAATATGCAAATTAGTAGTAGGTTTGAACCTAACCTCCAGATTAACTGCCCATCAACGCTCCCACTGAAAACAAACAACCGAGAACAAAGAAGACAGACCTAGGGAAACCTAGGTTTTTCTTACAATACTGTTTCAGCCTGGTTTCAGTAGGAAAAAAAATAAGATGTATACTATGGAGCTCCATGTTCATACTGAGTGTTATATTTTGAAGTGTTAAGAATTACAGCAGCGATTTTTTTTCTTTGCAAGTCTTGTACATGTAAATGCTAATAAAAAACAAACTTGCATTTGTTTCACAAATCTATTTACATCATGTCATTTATAAGTGTGATGAAAATTATATTTATTTATTTCTGTGATTGGTAATAATAATCAGTTTCCCACAACTTACATTTTGGTTTGTACCAAATAAGATTGTTATTCAATTTATCTGGAATTAATTACAGACGTGATGGTTTGTTATATTTTGTCATTGAATGTGAATCAAGTGATACCATAGACCCTCTCTATTGTGATATATATGGTAAATTAACGTTTGAAACAGAACAGGGAAAAATGCACTAAAATGTTAATGAGCAGCTTCTTAGATAAATTACTTACGTTATATATATTTGGCATAGTCAGTAAATATGTTTATCCATTAAGTGAACTGGTACAATTTGTCGCAACAAGTACGGTCAGTTTTGTGCCCATGTCAGTTCATAAATTCATAGACACATTT